AAGCAATTCGTGGCATGCAAAGAAGATCGACATTTGATTGCACCAGCATAATCGATACGTAGTGGTTTATGATGCACGTCTGGTGAACGATAAATTTCTCCTTTGATATGACGGAAAACGTTGCAAGATATATGGCCGTTTCAACCGGAAACGACAATGTTCTTTTCATTCTAATTCCGTTTCTCGTTTCTCTTTCGAGCTTCTTCCTCTCTGAACGGGAAACGTATGCACGTTCAATCGATTATCGAAAACGCGATGGTCCAGAAGAGTCAACCGGATTTATTGTTACAAACTGGTAAACGGTGCGGTTTTCATAAATATTAGTTGCGCTCGATGAATTTTAAATGCGCCGCGGTTATTAATAATCAAGCAAACGTGAAACATTGAACGGATCGAAGCGTAAATTTTTATTCTACCATTCTGTTATGTTCAAATTTATTCGTAGTTGTAAAAAATAAGCATTCGCTTATAGTTTGATATATGATTTATCGAGATGAAATAGTATAAACGCACAATGTCGGCAACTCGATGCCAATCCTCGCAACGCAACTCGCGTAACATATTCTTTGAATTAATAAAAGATTTGCTGGTAGAAATTGGAAGAAACGTAATTTTTTATCGATACACGTACTTGTAATATCGAGGATGATTACGGTACTTTCTTTTTTTTCTGTCCTTTCAACGAGTTTCGTGTAATCTCTACTGGCAGAAGGATTTAGTTTCGGTCGAACGGTTCGATAACTTCATCTCCAAGCAATTCGCATTATTCTCCAGGGCGGTGGGATGCTTTCCTCCCAGGAAGACGACGGCTAACTTTAATTAGGATCGGTCGAGCAAGTGTCGCAAAAAAAAAAAAAAGAAGAAAGAAGAAAGGAAGCGGATGGTCGGGTCGCTTGCTGTCGCAACGAAAAGGTTACGCGTTTAATTTTCCCGTCGTACGAAAGCAATATTCGCTGGTTCCTCGTAATAGCCTCGCTTTGCGTCCTCAGCTTTCTCTTAACTTTTTAGATTTCACCTTATCGCCTTTGCCGCTGCGAATATCTTCACGCGACCAGCTTTATATTTCAAGCTGTACAGGATAATGGTTCTAACTGCTGTGACGTTTGTAACTTTCAGTGAGTGTGAAATGGCCAAACACGCTGCTTCGAAATTAAAATTACCTTTACCGATTTCAAAGTGTTGCCAATAACAGGGGTATTTGGGTGAAAGAAAGCTGACTACACGATTGGAAAGAGATAGAATATTTGGTGAAATTGATGCAAGTGGGAGAAATGAAAATTTTCATTTGAACCAAAATAAATTAATCAAATTTAAAATTTCAAAATTATACAATCCTACCACAGCAGATGGGAATTTCGTTTTTATTTTTTAATTAAATGGAACACAGAAGGGTTGACTATTACGGAGAGAAAGAAAATTCTTATTATTTTTAAACAGAAGAGTGTATCAAGTTTTCTTTCTTAAAAAATATTTATATTTTTTATTCTGCAAGTGGTTGTAATAGCAACAAGGTTCGTTTGCGTTAGCATGCTACCACACAGGATATCGTAACTCGCAAGGGCTTTATCTGGTCCAAATTTGCTTTTTATATTTTCTTTTTAATAATTTCACTAGGTTATCGTGGTAACCGTGGCCTGGAAATATTCGCGTAAGCGGCTTCTTAAATTGCGGAATAATTTCGTGCTCGGTAGCATTCGAGTAACTAGATTCGGAAATTGCCAGCTAACTCTGTACCTTGAAACCCGAGGACGAATTTCTGAATGGCTGGATTCGCAAATTACGGGATAAATAACTGGTAAAATTGCGATGGAGCCACCTAGCGCATTCAGCGGCAAGTAATGAATTTCGAACAATTTATGCAAATCGTTTCAAGTAGCTGGAATCAGTGGATGGGAATTTCAGATTTCAACTGTTTGGAACAAGGTACTAATCTTCCCTTGAAATTTGTAGCAAATTCAGGATAAGATAAAAGCAGAAAATAGGAATAAAAAGAATTAGTGATATTAGCAAGCCGAGGAACTTTTACCTTAATTAATTAATTTTCATAAGGAATTTTCAAATTCTGGCAATTTTTAAAATAATATTAATATCGGTATGAATTTGTGCTTTAAAAAAGAAACAGAGAAGAATATTACGAAATTTTCCAAATCCCAAAAGAAACTTTATTGGCAACAAAAGTTTTGCACGAGAGAAAATCTAAATGGTGGATCGCAAATTCACAGGATCAAAGTTATCGAATCACGGAGTGGCTGAAATCGCATTCGATTCTCGTATCGAAGTATAAATCGAGTAACTGTTCGAAACATCGGGCAGGTTTTTGGAGCTTTTCCGGCGCGGTGCGGCGCACCGCTGAAAATCGCCGGAGGTAGAAGCGAATTCGTTCAAGTGCTGGCAAAGCTAACGGGCACGAGGTCTTTTTCAATTTAGATTTCACCGACATCGTTTCTATTCGTTCGCAAGGGCGCGAAAAGATAGACGCGACAAGTAAAATGGAATATCCTTTGCGACGTATTAAACGAATTTAAAAGATCCCCCAGGCGATTCTATGGCCGTGCGCCGAGCGAGAAATTAAATCTCGCTTCCGGTGAACGCGCGACAGATTCGAAGGGTAAAATTAAAATTTTTCGCATGAAATAATTTCTTCGATTTTCTCTTCCCTCCTCGGTTACGCTCTTTATTCTTTTATTCCTAGCTTTCCGTGTTTTCGTGGAAAAAGGAAGTGAATCAGAAACAAACATAATTTAATCAGCAATTCATTAGAAGCTCAAATTAATCTTGCGATAAAATAATTGCTCCATGATAAGATACTAATCACCCAACGGTATTATAAAAATGAGTTTCATATTATAATGATGCGAAAGAGCGATTAAAATGCATATACGTAAGACTGATTTTGTAAAGTAACAAGAAGGTGTATGTACAGTGTCGAGTTTTTATCTAATTTTGATACGTTTGTTTTACCATGACACGAAAACGTACATAAACATGAAATTGGCACGATATACGTCACTGTAATAACGTAAATGAAAGTAATCAAAGCAATTACCTTCATGAGTTACAATCTCGGCAAATGCAAAAGTTATCGCGACATTTCTACAATGGCTACAACAGGCTTCTATAATGTGCAACACCATGCGATCCTTCCAAACAAGTAGAACATTATTTACTCTATAAATAAAGAGGCTATTCAAGGTATTCAGAAAATTTCTTTTATTAATCGATGTTATAAAATAAAATAGAACGAATATTTGAATCTTCGATGGGAGGCAATCATCGGCTGATTATAAGCTCATTATAAATGTTATTTACGTTAATGAGCGTTACACACTGATAAGGTTAATATCATTGTTAATATAAATAGCATTTGTAATCAGCTTGTGGAGGGTAAATATTTTATAGGATCAATAGATCTCGTAATTTTCGATTTTCCTTTATATCCAAAAAGAGATTGTGAGAATTAGATTTCGAAGCTTCCATAATGTACACCACTAAATTGCCAATTTCCAAATTGCAATTAACGCGTAATATAGCGAATGAAAATAAATGCAAGAATCTAAAATTCGTGGTTTAATTCGTAAATCTTGTATCGCGAAACACGTTGGTACAGGGTTGTCGAGCGACAGAGTCATTTATTTAGACGAAACATACTCGTTTGTTTTTATTATCACCGTTTACTTTGTCGAGACCGTCTGTAATTGCGAGTTGACGATAAATTTGACGCATCGTTTCCTTTTACGAGAGGGTTGCGCGATATCATTAAACGGATAGTCGTTTTTACCTTCGAAAGGGAGACGCATTTAATTTTAACGATCACCGAAACCGAGCTACGAACACGAAATAGTTTCTGTTACTTTTTGACAAAAGAAACGCCATTATACTGAGTAGTACAGTTACGAGCACCCTAAAGCTTTGATTGGTTAAAATGTCGAATCTTGTGTAGGTCAGAGGTAACCCCTAACATCAATTTAATACACTCCAATAATTTGAAGAAATTAAAAAAAAAATTGTATTATATTAATTGATTCAATAAAATATAAAATGGAAAATACAATAATTGTCATCTGAATAATGACTTATTAAATAATCAGTGCATTAGAATAGATAATGGCATTGCTATTATTAGTAAAAAATATCTTCGGTTTGAAATAAATTTAATATCAAAGGCAAACAATTGGTCAGGTCAGTTTGTCGATTTATCCTTTCGTGCGACCTATCGTTGACCCACACTACTCGCGCCGCGATACCGTTCATTACGTGCTCGAAGAAAATATAGATCAGCTCGGGAAAAGTGCAGGTATGGAAGTGAATTAATCGAGGGGAAGTTATTATTTGCATCGAGTCGGGTGTAAATCCAATTATGGAAGAAACGACTGCACACGGTATGTAGAATCACGGATGCGAAAACGTGGCAAGATTCCAATCAATTCTCGAACATCGTGCTTTTTTGGGCGAATCAACCCGCAGCCAGATCCAAAGTTCCTAATTGCTAGCCAAATATTTTGCAAAGTTTCCCGATTATTCCGGTTCGATGACGAAAAATCGACTGGGATAAAAGCCTAGCCAGTGAAATAATTGAACAATTTGGCTTCGTTAGAATAAATCCGAAGGTATAGGGGTTTTTCATTAACATACTGAGAAATGATGCGTAAATATTAGAATAAAAAACAATATTTGAAAATTATCTCAAATTTTTGCTGGATGGTTTAATCCTCAGACGGGCTATGAAGAGAGCCCCAATTTAATTTAAAAAGCCCAAATGACCAAGAAGTAATCAAGCAAATTACACTTAAAATGTTGAAACATTTTGAAGTTATAATTTGCATATAAAAAAAGTTTCTACCGGAAGGGTGAATTTATGAAAAGTAGAGGAAAGGAATATCCTTCTAGAATTTCGCGTTACTTGGTCATAATGCGACTAACCTCGCGCTTCTAAAAGTTTCTAAAAGCTTCTAAAAAGCGAGCTGTCACAGTTAACGAGGAAATATTCATTTTTATTTCAGGATATTTCCCTCTGCCGTCAATCTACTGTCTCGTCTGGATCTGTCTGGACGTGTTATTCTGCACGGCGAGCATAATGCACCTGTGCACCATAAGCGTGGACCGATACCTAAGTCTGCGTTACCCTATGAAATTCGGTCGCAACAAAACCAGGCGACGAGTCACTTTGAAGATTATCTTCGTGTGGATCCTCAGCATTGCCATGAGCTTACCACTCAGCTTGATGTACTCAAAGGTGAGACACCGTTCTTTTATACGAAATGTCAACCGCGTCGTTCTTCTGAACGTTCCGGTATAAAAATGATATCAGATGGTGTTTTCATTTTAACCCTTTTATATCTATGGACAAGATATCTCGCGATCGCAGTGGCGCGTTCGTGTGACACTTTAGACGAGATATCTCGCGACGGAATGCCATTTATGCGACACTTTCGACAAGATATCTCGCGATGGAATGTCGTCCATGCGACCCTTGGTATATCCCATATATATATATTTTTTTTTTTTTTTCATTAGGATGCTCCAACTTATCAGTGTCATCGCAGGCTAATATTGACTTGTAAATTATCATTTCTCTAAGAGTATTTTTAAAAATAATAATTGAAAATGATAATAGGTAATATACTGCCTTCCTTAATTAATTTATATTCTAATTGCTTTTCGAATAATCACTTTTCTTAGACGTATAACTTATACCAACCTAATATTTGCTATATACCGAAGATTTGACAAGTACCTTTGGATAGCTCAAGCTTAATTTCCGGAATCTAGACCGGAGGCGTGAGCAGGAAGAAAGAAAGTTATACTTGCGTTTCGTGCTGCACGAAAAGTACACGAAATGTCTATCAACGATTTTAACATACGAGTCATTTGAAATTTAAAATCACCGGATATCACCGGTAATCACTGCTTCAATACGCTTGAATCTGTATTTTACAACTTCTTTCTCCGGTCATAAATGGAATATTGTTAATTTTCGATTATAATCAACCTACGACTAACTGAATTCTTTTTCCTTCAATTAAATAAAATGCGGGATTAAGCATTTTCCGAAAGTTACACAATCTTCATGATGATATCACTCATCCTAAAACGTCTTATCTCTGAGATTTAATTTTCCGGTTCATCAATCTTAAGCTCTTTTAAAGGATTGCCGTTATCTCTATAGGAAACTCTTCACTCTAAAGATGGTTTAATGATGGAGTAATAATTTTCTACAGTTTAATGAACGCGAATCTAGTGCTTCAAGTTCACCCTTTAATTACGTGCAAATCATTTTCAAGCATCCTTGCCGACTAAATATCTAAATCTGAAGATGTCCAATATTTTCAACGTAAGTTCCCTATGATGAAGAATAATTCGAATAATTTTTCTAAATATTAATGCAACTTTGAAAAAATAATTACTACATAAATTGTAAAATTATAATTTTTTAATTTCCTCTTATACAGGTACCTAATTCGACGTTATATTAAATTTTCTGCTTTTAAAATTCAGAGTAATTTAAGAATGGAATAATTAATATTAACACGTGAAGTATCTGTGTACATTATCTTGTTAAAGAAAAATATTTGAGAGTGATCCATTAAACAGGGTTGGTCATCCTTAATCAAATATTTTAACCAATTAGTATGTTGATGTATCGCGAAGAAGACTAATTACTGACGTCATCCAAACTAATCAGAATATTTATGGTAACAGATAAATCCTAATCCTCTTAAATTTTTCAAAATCATTAATATTACGGTAATGAAAGATTAAGTGCGTTAGTAAAAATTTACCTAATTTTATTTTTAACTAAACTTTGACTAAATTATTTTGAAAATCTTGGTTAATGTTCGAATAAATACTTCATAGAAGGTACATCGAAAAATCCTGTTATATCGGTTAGCTGTACAAATTTATTTACCGTTTGCTTAACCCCGTAAACATCTGAAATTTTCACCGACAAGAAAAGTTGCCCTGTTTCGCTCTATTAATTCCAATTCCACGCGTGTACTCATTAAACTCGTTAAAATATGTAAACGCGACCCGTTGGCCAAGCTAGCTCAACTAGCTACGAGTTTTCAATTAACTCGGTTGACATTAAAACACGAACCGAACAATATGAATCACCAGCGACGATGAAATATAATACGTATATTAAAAAGTATCCTATAGTTACGGGAAACTACTCTCGTGCGTTTTAACCTTCAAATATTTCACTTCAAAAGAACTTCAAAAATTTTTCATAGAACACGAGATTATTAAATAATACATTTTCATAATATATCATATGCAAAAGAAAGAGTTAAAATCTCGCAGTATTAGTAGATTCATTAAAAAAAATAATTATTTGAGTAAAATTTATGAAACCATAATGTATAATTAGAAAAAAATATTTGATATACTTAAACAATATGAAACTGCGATGTTTTTATTTATTGTTCAATTACGCAACAATAAATAAGATTTGATATATTTATGATACAAAATTAATGACTTACGTTATTGAACACCAAGCACAGGAAAGCCCGCGAAGATTTGCTAACATGGCGTCTGCTCGCGTGGAGTCTTGTATTGACTATCATCACACTTTTTATACATTATAATTACTTGTAGAATACTACAAAACACGATTCAGATTTTAAATGTACTTGGTACTCGAATAGAGGGTTCTTAAACGCGATATAACACGTGTTGTGGAACGATAAACTACGTATTAAAGTAAATATCTATCCACGCACCAAAACACGTGTTCTCGCGACGGTGGCGCTCCGTAGACTGAGCGCGTGTACGCCGCGCCGTTCAAATCAACCGAACGAGGTCAGAGTTGTTATCGTGTTCAAAAAGGCTCGAGCATACTTCTGTTTATCAAATATCACACGATGATTTATGATCTATTTTCTTACGAATAATTTTGTACGATTTCATGTACAATAATTCGTTTCTATTTTTACAAATAAATAGTTATTTAGTGTTATCTCTAGTAATAGATTATACAATAATTTGACATTAACATGAAATTACACATTGCCATGAAACAGTAACTCCATAAAATTCCATTAAAATTTCCGTCAGGCCATCCCTGTCAATTTAACCACTCTATTTAACGAATTTTCAAGGCAAATTGCGCGATGTCAATAAACGAGGCTTCACGGTGCCGTTAATAGAGCTCGTTTTCGCGTTTGTTCGACGGCCGTCTCGTCATCATTGACTGACAATGAAGCGCGCTCTTCCATCTCGATCGACCAATATAGGGTTTTTTTCTCGGTAAACAGCCGATGTTTTGACTTACCGCCAAGTCACGAACTCGAACGACAGCTAATACGTTCGTTTCGTTGAAGCCCAGACTGATCATTATGGATGGAAGCTACGAATCCTGGGGCATCATCCGTCAATCGTTTTACGACACGACACGTGCTCGTCGATGAAGAATTATACTCCGGTATTTTATTTACTACATGAAAAATGACAGATTCAAAAAAAGAAAGATTAACAGCGAGGGTTGTAAATGCTACAGACATCTTCTGTATGACTGATTCTATAATTTTATTTATGTAAAATTTATTATAATGGACTGGGTTTCTGTAAGAAATTTTATTGAATAAGATACTCTGAAAGTATAATACACAATGTTTAATATTTTGCATTATCTTAAGATTCTTATAATAAAATCTGAAAAATTATTATCTAATAACTCAAATTACCCGCATCCTTGTTTACATTATTTATCAATTATATAAAAAAAGACGAATAAACATTTTATTCTAGAAATTATGAATCAAACTAATAAATTTGTATCACTTCGTAGAAGTGATTCGAAGAGATATCAGGATTTCAGTAAATAACACGAATTCATATGATCAAAGCAAATCATATATATTTATTAAAATTCTAAATAACGGAGTAGCCGAGGTTCGTGATGAGGAGTGATAGTTCGAGGCCGGGTTTAATGTTATATGAAAATAAAAAAAAGAAAGAAAATAATGTTGCAGGACGGCGCGTTTTTATCAAGAAGGAAACGTCGACAATTATTTCTTCTTTTCTCTATGAAACTATGTGTGTGTATACGAAATCAAATATAACTTGCGTCACAGACAGAGAGGAATTTGTTTTTGATACACGGATTTAATCCTCGTTGTACTCGAATGGTTCTGGAGGTTCCGCTTCTTTCTCCTCGTCGGGTTTGGAGCCGAAAGCTGAATTAAATTAAATTAAATTGAATTTTTAATAAAAGTGAATTTTTCTGAAAAAATATGGACTTACCAGCCACAGGTTCCACGAGCTCCTCTTCAGTGTCTGATTGTATGTGTTTCATCATGACGATACCACCAATCTGAATGTCTTTCACAGGAACATAATGACCACCCTCCACTAATTGTATTACCTTCAATTGTTGCCGTAAAACGCGAGCAGGATTTTGAAGAATCTCGAAATTAGGTTCAGCTTCCTTTTTCTCTTTTTCTCCTTTCTCAGTTTCGTCCTTGCCCTTTTTCTCGACCTTCTCTTTTGTCTCTTTCACTTCTTTCGTCTCTTTTTCTTCTTTCTCCTTTTTCTTTTCTTCTTTCTCTTTTGGCAATGCTTCCTTCACCTCGACAGTCTCCTTCGTTTCTGGTGGATCCTGCGATTAAAAATGAAAAAGGATGCTAGCTGGAAACATTGTTCGTTTCACCGTAAGACTGAAATGTAGTTGTGAAAATGTAACATATTTTGAATTAAATTTTGCATCTTATCATTTCGTATCTTCTACTGCAGAGATGTGAATTTTATTTTTTTATTTTGTTTTTTATACTAACCACTTCCATTTTTTCCTCGTGGGAATCACGAGCACGCCTCTCGGATTCGCGTCTACGCGCCCTCGCAGCAATGCTGAGAATAGCTGTCGTGATTTTCTCCCTTTCCTCGCGTTTCTTCTCCTCCAATGGCGCAGGATAAGCGTAGACACTTGGTCTCGCATTCGAGCGAAATTCGAGCTTTGGCATTTTCAGCTGAGCGTTCAGAGCGATTAGACAGGTCGGGGTGAAGGCTAGAGCCAGGCAATGGGCTAATGGGAACCAGTACCAGTACTGGGTGAACACCAGTGCACCAACCACTGCCAGCATATTGGTGTGACCTGTTCTCGATTGAAGGGACACCGTCACGTTACGACCACCTGAAACAGTCATCACTCTTATGTAGACACCTGGATCATCCCTTTCAGTGTTTACTCTGTACACTGCTGTAATAATAGTACATTTTTATTTTAACACACAATACAGTAATCTCGCCATTCTTGGTACTACTACTTTAGGAGGTAAAAACAATTAAAATTTGAAATTTGAGAATTAGAGGAATATCAAAGAAGGTTAGCGAATTCCCTAAATGGATCGGTTAAATGGAGGTCCCTCGAGTAACTCACCAGCGTCGATGATGCCTTGCGCCAAAATGGCACCAAACTTTGCCATTACGTCTTCGTGCTTGTCTACCACGACTTTGGCGTACAACGCCCTGAAGTCTTTAACTCTGGTACATGTCGCCTCTGTCTGCTGAATTAGGATCATCGCGGACGCGATCAAAGCACCTTGACGAACAAAGTTCACCGGGTCGTTTGTCATTGGATCCAACAGGGCTATAGCTTCCTTTAATCCTGTGCCTGCACACGCGATTCCCAAAGCCATCGCTGCCCCGTACCTCACGTGCGGGTTGTAACTTTCTGCCAGCAAGGAAACCACGCTGGGACATTGTTCTGGTGTTCTGTAACGTTGAAGAAACGTTGCAATTATACACTACAATTTCTTATTATTTCATTAAAACTTTTGCGAGTGAGACGACGAATTTCGAGGAATATGTCCCCTCAAATCCATTCGCAATCAATCAAAATGAATAAATCCAAAGCTAAACAACGGCGCCAAAGTGCATAATTGTGTTTGCTGATGTTGCAGGAAGAAGATTCAGTGTTGATAGATGGTGCCTGCCAAATACCGGACCCTCTTTACAAGCTGATCGGCAGCATAATCTGCTTTTACATACCACTGGGCGTGATGCTGCTTACATACGCGTTAACGGTCAGATTACTGGCAGAGCAACGACAGAATATCGGAGGTACTGCAGGTTGGTCCTCTGGATGGCTGGGTGGCCCCCAGGGACCACCTTCGGGAGGTTAGTGTATTATCAGGTACACTGACCTGTTACATCTGTCACTTTATCATCCGACTACCTTCATTTTCTAATCAATTCTTAAATCTTACCTTCCCTAACATGTTCAATGCCACATCATCCATACGTGGGCGGTGATTGAATTTCCATAGGAATCGATCAATCACATTGATAGAAATTTTTTTTACTTATGAAATATAAAAATAAAAATATAATAAAATAAAATAAAAATGATGTCCAAGTATATTTATGAAAAATAAATAATAATTCATGAAGAGGGTTGATCTTTCAATTGAAATAACAGAACAGCTGTCTAAGAGTAAACTTCCAACAATGGAAACAAAACGACGCGACGTAACGTTTCTATATGCAAAAAAGTTTATGCGAGGCACGATTTTCCGAGATCGAAGAAAACAACTTTCCAATACTTCATTGGGCGCAACAGCGGGCTTACAAGAGTCTTCTCTTTGCTTATGGTAAATAAGTTAGCAACAACGCGAGCCAAGGTTTCTGGGAATTATTTGTTTCGAGGACAAAGCGAGAAATTGAAGCAACAACTAGAGAAAACTTTCGATACCTCGTTCCAAGGGTAAAACAAAAGTTTTCACCGAAGCTTTCTGTTGCTCCCGATTCAGCCGTTATTTGTAAAAGGTCTTCGTGCTTCTTCGAGTCGTTGACTTTTAAATTAAGTCGACGAATTGATTTACTGGGAAGAAATGGCTGAGTCACGGAACTGAGATTGTAACTTTTGCTTAATTGGGGGAAGGAGTTAAGTGATGTAACAAGTTTTGTATTGTATACGTTTTAGAAAAAACAGTTTCATCAACTCTTTTATTGCCTTATAATTTGTATATATTCTTTTCTTTTTAACACAAAATAAACTTAACGAAATTTAATATTAAATCTTTCTCGGATTATTGAATTCTAATTAGTGTTTGACAAGGTATATAAAACAAGTGAAATTTTAGGTAGCTGATAAATCAGTAGAAACTCGGAAATGTCTTTTCGAAGTTATCCGCCCAAAGAGTGTTCGATCGACATAATTTAATTTACTGGTTATCAAGTTATCACTGGATGAGCAGTAAATCCAGTAATGCTCTTCCATTGAGACCAACTGTACTGTAATTTGTCACAATTTCTCATCAAGAATTACTTCTGTCAAGGCTTTTTCTTTCGTATATTTCGTGGAGGATTGTTGAGTCATTTTCTGTTGTATATAACACGGCTGAGAAACCTCATGAAGATTAATTGCAGGATCGTGAAGAAAAATGAGTAGTCGATGTTCATGTTTCACAGTTCGGTTGTTAATTAAATCCGACACGAGAAAATTAACACATTACGTGAATAGGTTCGATCAATAATAAACAAAAACTAAAAAGAATAACTATTAAAATTTCAAGGATTCTATTTTTTCTAAAATTGTAGAATTGTTTAAAAATATATTTCATCGAAAGAAATTTAAGAAATATAATTTTACACGGGTGCACAAATTTCTCAAACTAACTTGATACCAAAAAACCGAGTCCTTTCTTATTTTGACTACATTTTTTTCTGCAAAAGTGGTAGAAATAAAAAAAATGAAGATACTTTGAAGCAGACAAAAGAAAAAAGCTAACATTAGAGACGTAAACAGCGTTACGTTGCTGTGTTGAAAGATAGAAGGGAAAACATGCTCGAAACAAACAATGGAAAAGCATACAGAACAATATGCTAACTGGAACGCAAACTAAAAAAAGAAAAGGGAGAAAAAGAAAAAAGACAAATAGAAAATGCAATTCTTTCATGAGAAACGCGGAAAACAATTTAAACCTGTCAAAAACTTCCCAATTATCTGCAAATATATTATCTGTTGTCTACGAAGCTGAATATTATCTCATATCTCCAACATAACGTATCGTTTCCGCTTCCTTTATTCGTCTGTGCGGAATTATTTCCGGCGAACAAGTAGCTCCGTTGCGTTTCAGTGAAAGAACGAAACATCAAAGTTGCCCTCCTGCATTGTTTTCATCTTTGAATGCATGTCACATGAGTTTGAAATTAACAAGGTGAAACTGTGCTGTTTCGTTCTAGGAACGTGCACTAAAACAATAATTAAGTACAATTCTAAACAGGATAAAATCCAAAATTAATTCAAAATTTCGAATAGTAAAAATCGATAATTAATGCAGGAATAAAAGAATTTGATTAAACCTTAATCGCTTGTATTTTGAACATATTTGTTAACAGGATATTTGTTGTAGTTGAAATTTTACGAAATTATTCAAGAAAAAGAACCGATTCATTTTACCGAAAAAGTGTAAATCCCTGTTGAAATACGACAAGTGTCGGAAGACTTGGGAGAGGTAGTGCAGGTGATAAACGCGGACAGGTCGGTATTTCTCGGTCGGAAAGCTGGTAAGAAAGAGTATTACAGAAAATTTTCGACGTAATCCGGCAACGTTTCGAAAGCTTTGTCTCGGCCCAATTCGGCGGAGATTGCGATTAAGAATTCGATAGATTGGTTTGGCCGACTTCTTTGCTGGCAACGGTGTGTAGGCGTGCAAGCTCCTCGATAAAAGAAATTGATCCCTTTCCTGCCAAGCTTGAAACCTTATAGCGAGGCTTTTCCATCGGTGGAAAAGTGGAACAGGAAGGTCGCGACAAGAAAAATCGACCATCGAGACCGTTCGGCTAATTATCGCCACTCCAGTCCTGAAATTTATCGAGTCTCGTAAATGCTCGATGCTTCACCTCGATTCCTTATTTATACATATCTGATTAACAGCATCTTTCTTCGAGGAATAAAGAAAAATTTGTTGATTGTAGACTGAATTAACCCTCCAACGGCGAACCACGGAGAGAGCCATAATCTTAATTTAATTTCGTATTTCATATTTTACACTGCTCCTACAAAAATTACTTTTCTAACACGTAATTAAATAAAAAATTAGCTGGAAAACAGAGTCGAAATTCCTCGCATTGTTCGCGAAAATCGTGGAAGTAACAAATTGCACAGCTCGCAAACTTCCGCGAGCCGAAGTAGCAGCAAATTGGGGCGAGAAACGACGCCTCTTTCGACTTGAAGATTTGCATCGGCCAATTTCACTTGCAAATTGATCGCCCGTGTTTCGCGAACACGTGCCAAAGCACCCGTTAAACAAAAAATAAAAAAGAAACAGGAATCCCGAGAGGCATAAAATTGTTTTATCACTTGAATTTCATAAAAATTCAGAAGTCGATGGAATCTTAACCTTATCGTTAATTTGATATCCTCCAAAAAATATGATGCTTTGAAATAAATAACGATAACCATTTAGAACGAATAATTAAAACATACGATTAATAATCGTACTTTGGTATCAATCTGCATATCCCGTATTCACGCAATTAATAACGAACGCGTAAACAATTAAATTTAATTACTGACAAATTTAACGATCTATTGCATGTGTCACGTACAATACTTAATGAATATTCGATAACAGAAGCGTTCAAGCTGAAGTGTAAAAATGAAATCCTCGTTTCATTGAAACGCTGTAACGTCATCGATGAAGGATTAAACGAGGTATCAAACAAAATTATATGAAAATTCTATAGTAATTGCGAATCAGCGAAAATTCCTTTATTCCCATTGTTTGAAATTTATCAGTAATTTATCGCAATCATAATTCAAATTATTCGACAAAGCTTTCATTTTTATCATCGATCGAAATGGAATCTATTTTGTTTGTCGATCAAAATTACGAGAGATTTAACGATAGTTTGCTGATTCGCTCGAGCTTTTATCATTTTGCTATCTGAAAGCTCGTAAAATAATCAGTCGAAAAATGCGTATTTGATCGTCTTTTCGAATAAAACAACACGCGATTCGTTTTCTATCCATGCTGTGGAAACAGAGATTTATATTCCTGATGGTTCAGTTTTCTCTACTGATATTTTAAATCCATATCTTGATATTTTCATTTACTGAAAGTAGAACCAATAAATGAAATACCACGAATTGAATTGGAGAATTAAATGTAAAAAGAAAATCTTAGGGAAAGGATTAATTTCCTAAAATTTACCAGCAATATTCAATTAACTTTTGGATCGATTAATTTTTGAAAGGAAAATTAAAATTGGAAAATCTATCCTCAGGGCTGGACAGACGAGGCACCTGGAAGCGATTTCTGCTGAGCAAAAGTTCAGCCGGAAGTGGTGGCACCCCTCAACACACCTCAGGCACCTCGACGGACACCGAGCTGACCACGTTAGACACCCACGAACTTTGGCTGCCGGAAAGCGAACCACCACCTTCGGCCATGTCCGCTCTTCACGCTTTCGGTGCCGAAATGTTGAAACTTTCCAGAGGGCTCGAGGGTATCGCCAGTCCCGGAAGCCCTACGCCAACCGGCACACCGAGATCAACTCCCCAACATTCGGTACAGCATCACCAACATCATCATCAGCATCAGTTACATCGATGCAGTTTTCGACACGGGTAAGGGTTGTGATTGCGTGGTAATTGGACGCTTTTCAGCTACAAGTTTCGACTAACGAGCTGAACCCGCTACTCGGATGACCATTTCGAAAGGGTAGTTGGTTGTGAAACTGATACCGGATATTGATCACTCTGGTTTGCGGTACACTAAATTTCTTTGTTTAACCCTTGGACAACTGATCGCTAAGATAAAGGGTTATATAGCAACATTAAAAAAGAAAAGAAATAATAAAAGAAATGAAAAGTATTCTAAGCATAACACTATTCGAAAAACCTGATTTTCTTTTTAGCGTTCCCAAAGGAATTTATATTTTATCTAACCAGTAGATTTTCGATTCTCCTTTTCAAACGATTCACAAAATAAGAACACTTTTCATTCGCCGATCGGGCATCGAAATGGAACATGTCTCCCATGGTATTTCGCCATGAAAGATCCCGAGGGACAACGTCGTTCCAATTTCAGCTGGAACGCGCGTAAGCGACTCGAGTCGGTAGTTGTCTTCTGAGAAACTTAACCGAGATCGAAAATCGCTTGTCAATTCGCCTGAGAAATACCTGTCTCGTTACAGAGACTGTAATCACACGGAAGATAATATCTGTGTCGTAAACATGAAATTAGTATTAGGTGGCTTCAATGGCTGTTAATATAATTATTTGAAAATTTATGTACCTAATTTGAAATATATTCGAATTAGATGAAGTTTCTCGCTTTCGTGTTCAAAACCATCTATGCACGCGATTGTGCAAGTTCCATCGATTTACGACTAGTCGAGGAATATTTTCCACCCTGCGTCGCGTTTCTTCGTTCGTGTCGTTCTTCAAACTGACGTGACTCGACATCGTATCGGGAACTGATCCGCGATATGATCCAAATCGACTTTCGGTCTCGTTAAATTTCTAATAAGATATCTCTATTTTGTGCAAGCTACACAAAATTTCATGCAATCTCGATATTATCCAAATTTTCGTTAAAAACTAAACGTAGAAAAAAATTTTACCGAAATAACGAGACAGAAGTGAAGTCACTGGACATGTTCGATTTATCACTAGAAACTAGACACGTGGACACCGGAAACGATCCCATTTATAACGAAAATTCACGGCTTGAGAAAGTTAAAGGACTGCGAAAGCTGGATCTAACTTTTCAAACATGCGGACCCGTGTCGTGTCGCGTTTCGTTCGTCAAGAAAAATTGTTCAAATTTTCTCGCAGCTTTGTCTTCTGTTGCTTCATAAGAGAGATTGCGATGAAATTGCTGTTTCGAATTACTGGATCGAATTGACGGGAACACGAAGCCAAGAGTAACGCACACCAGAGACGTGAAAACGTTTTGTATTCGCAACTATGAGCTTGTCTAAAATGTCATGTCGAGTTTACGTGATGCATTCGGTTATGGCATTTAGGAGCCACGTTCCTCCACGAAATTACAACGTCAGACTATCGATTTATCAACGGGGAGAACGTGTTGAAGCGATTAACTAATTCCGAAACTTTGCATCTCTGTTGGGTTTAAATATCGAAAGAGAATATAGAAGATCTTTTATCTCCAAATATAAATTCTAAATTCTAATCTAATCTAAACGAAATAATTGTATCACAGGAGACTAAGTAAGGTATTCCAAGGTATTCGTAAAAATTCTAATCTAAAATTATTCATGTCCCCTGCGATTGAAACATTTCTCCTATCGCCAGTTCCAAACGTCGTTTTCCCTTGAAACTCGACTACTTTTATTCAATATCTCGGCCATCGTGTCATCTCCTGATTTACACGAGAAGCTGAGGATTCGTGGTGGAGATGGGACGTTATTCTCGCCACGGAGATTGGCTATTCGTTACTGTTCGACGTGGCTGCACGCGGCTCTGACAACGAACCGAATGAGAAATTCAGTTGACTTTTCTTTCGATCAAGAGCGAAAAAGAGTCGACAGGGAAATTTAACCACGTCTACAGACGGAACAGACATTTCAAAGGAATAATAAACGATCAGGGAAATTGAGTTAGAATAGAGATACAAATAAAATTTGAAATTCTAATGGTGGATGAATTTTGAGAATAGTTAATAGAAAAAATAATGATGCGTCTATGCAGTATAGATAGTTCAATTATGTCAACCTCTAGGAACTATTGATCAAGGATGGCAACTGCTCCATATTGAGACATTGCTGCATGCCGGTGTAACCGCATCTGGGTTCACTGTGGAGCTGGGGCATCTTCCAATAATATCGGAAGTTCGCACTCCCTCAAGTGTCTGTAATATGCAAATGTTAAGCGTCTTTCCACGAACTATGAACCACGAAACAGTTCCTTAATACCCAGCATTAAGTTGTTGAAATATGCTGGGCTTACTAACTAACAAACAGGGATTAGAGCCATCTTGAAACAACAATTATTATGTACTAAGACGTTGCACACATCAGTGGAGTTTCTCATGATTTGATGACGTAAAAGTCTAACAAGGAGTCACTCATGGGACACGTTAATTTGAAGTTCAGAGTGTAATAAAAATGTCTATATAAGTGTTTCATAGATCAATCAATTCATGGCTTATGAATAACATACTTTTCATCGATTCCTAATTAACCAAATTTCTAATTAAAAATTCAAGTAGACGTTTCACCCAGACGAGGTTCGACTAAGAAATGCTCTTGAAAAGTTACGCACAAAAACAGCTTTAATTAATCCTAAGAAGCTTGCTTACTTCCAAGTTTACGCCTCTAGTTTCAGCGAACTGCCTACGAATCAAGTAAAAGCTTCTCGTAAACACACTCGAGATTTTCAGAGCTTTCGATGCAAAGCACAAACTTTTTCAAGGAAACTTTTTGATAGTTATTTCTGAATATAACTCTCCAATTAAATCGAATGGATTTCAGCTGTCAAAATTTAAATTAAATTTCAATTTTTCAATCTTAATTCTAATTTCCTAAAACGAGGATCCGAGTTGACAGGGTTGTTGGATTGTGCGAAGCCTCATGGGAACTTACTTCCCCCTTACGACGTTCTAGCAATAATAAAACAAGATGGGTTGAAAATTGTTCTACCACCAGAGGCGGAATGATCCCCCCTGCTAAAGTGATGCGAAAGCGATGGAGAAATTGAATTTCAGACGAACAACTCACAAGTGTCAAAGTGTTACGGTACATAGTTTCACTATTCAAACGGGATGCACGTAAAGTGCAAAATCATGGTTCTTTTTTCTTGTTGAAAGTTAAAAATTTTAGTATAATTATTTTTTAACACGATTAGGCGACAGACTTTTCGACTTTATTATGTAACACGAAGGGGGAATAAAAAGGCGAGGATGTGAAAGAGCGGCCTCCCGACGCGTTAATTAAATCATTATGTCGGGGAGAAAACGAGAGAAAGAAAGCGAAGAGGCAAGAAAGCATTCTGGAACGGCGGAAAAAGCAGTAACCGTTTTTCAGGACAATTATCAAGCGAGTCAAGTCGGAGTTCTACCAAAGCCGAGGCCTTGAAAGAGCGTCAAAGTGACGATCTACTGGTCGAAAGGTGCTACGAAACCTTTGTGGAAACGCGTTCAAGCTTGCTAAGTGCATTCCTTTTATTAGAGAGTTTCAGACAGGAAGAGCAGTTTACTTAAGTGCGACCACTGGCGAACGAACCGTTCCAGTTTTGCACTTTGAGTGCAAGCAGCCTAAGTACGAGCCACTTCTGAAGCTAGAAACCTTGTACAGAGTGTTATGAAAGTAATGCTCATGGCTCTACACCGTGTTTAATGAGCAATCGTAAAAAGAACTATAACAGCAAAATTAATTAAAAATAATTTTCAAATTAAAATTTCCCAATTTGTTTTCTGTTGTTAATAAAATTATAAGAATTATACAATTATCCTCATTTTTATTTTTTGAAAATATCAGAATGCTTTGAAGTTTTTAATCCTTCAAGCTCGGGAAATTGTGAATTTTCACCAAAGGGGAAAAACAATCTGTATACAGAGAGCAGAGGAAACGGTAAAGATAGATAAATATCGAAACTAGAGCACTCGAGTCTGTAAATTTCAGGGTGAACGGCTCGACGAATAGAATGCCGTTGAATACTTTTAAAATTGAAAGCCGAAACGAACGAATAGGAAATTATTACCAGAGCCAATTGTTGGCCGAGTGCACGTTGACCAAGGCCTTCTCGTTCACGAAACCGATTCGACTGATTGAAGGTGCTTTGAGTGCTGCTGGAAAAATCGAAACACGGCCTCGACGTATCGTTCCAGAAACGTTTTCTCGTTTCGACGAGAGGCTTGTTCGTTTGTTCCATCGGGAATCGTCGATCACTTCCGCTCGAGGTATTGTTAAAAAGAATTCAACAATGAATTTGAAAAAAAAAAGCCGATACCGGAGCATTGTTCGAAACTTTAGTCGGTTTAAAGAACAAATACTTTAATATTTCAGTGAAGAAACTTCTTTGATGAATTTTTCATTTTGTTCCTTCTCATAAAAGCTAGCCTCATCGCAAGCTCTATCGATGAGTTTTCCCACGAGCAACTATACGTAGCTCGCAGCCAGAAATCTCTGAGAAGCAATAATGGCTGGGCTGATCCTCAATAATGGATAGAAGGCGTCAAAAGTGGCCGCGGCACAGCTGCGTTTCATACGTGTCTGACTTTATAGGAACCAGTGTTCGTCCCTTTTTTCCTCTCTGAGGCCATTACGTTTCATGGAGAGAGGGATGGGAAAAAATGGGAAAATGAAGGATGCAAGCTAAAAAATTTTCTACGTTTCCATGATAAAGTTTCGTGCGAATTATTGTCAATTTTGCTATGTTAAAAATGAAGGGTCAAGAAATAACGAATTTAATTTATAGGAAATGAAATTAATTACTTTGAGATGGTAGCAGCTATCTAGTGGTAATATTTTAACAAAAAAAAGGAAGCTTACAAACCGTTAAGAAACAATGACCTAAATAAACACCCGGGTTTCAACGAATATACGTGGCGTCATTTCGATGCAAATTTAAATTTCTCTTCATCAAAAATGCATAGTTTCCCTTTTTATAAAATTATGAATAAACATGGATGTGACGTTCTAAGAGACATTAGATCTATATCATTAAATTAAATCGAGGATATTACAATGATAATTACAAATTCCGCCTCGGAGGACTATATTTCAATTTCGAATCTTTGAAAGTGAACCAATAAAATTTGATAAAATTGCAGAAGCGCGGAAAGCGGTGCGAGTAGCGCTTCCGGTTCGAGGACCAGCCTCTCGATGCAAGAAGATCTGAGTTCCCCGACACCTTGGAAGCATCGTCGAAGAGCATCGACCTTCAACGAGGCTCATCTGGAACGAGCCGAATCCGATTCACCGAAGACGCCGAGAAAGAGATCGTTCAGCTTCCACGAGCAACCATTTGGTCGATCATCCGTCTCGAGGAAGGACTCGTCGAACGAGAACAACGTTCAAAGGAAATCGATCGAGAAACAGGAAAGCGAGGGCATCGCGTTGCCACCGCCCTGCACGTGTCCTTATTTCGGCGAATCATCAAAGAGGCCGCCGGCTCAACAATCCAGCGAGATCGTGATCGTCTCCAGTGACACGATGAAGCCGATCTCCGGGAAGAACCTCGAGGCAGGACTTTTGGGAAGGAATAACACCGGAAGAATCGAGGCCAGCAGAAGTTACGAGCTGAATTCGGTTGTCACGTGGAGAGGAGGAAGAAGAGGATCCAGCTTAGGTGGGTGCTTTCATGAATAATTTTGGATTTCAGGCTAAGCATAGAGATTGTACGAACAGATTTGAACGATTTTTATGGATAAGGTTAGATCGAAGGATTTCCCGAAGAAGATTTCAACCTTACTTTAATAAATAACAAAGGATGTTTGAAATGACACAGGAAACAGAGAGGAAGACGATAGATTTTCATCAAAATTTCAATACCCTCTCTAATTATCATCGTCAATTAATTAACTCGCAATTATTGCAAACGACCGACGCGGCGGTGCAGGACAAACAACGAATCAACGAAACCACAAAACCAGAAACCTATGGACCAATTATCTCAAAGCAACTAAAACGATGATAATGACAAACCTTTGAAATTTCCCATTCTGGTTGCAACTACTTTAGCTACAAAAGCACACACGTTAAGCTCTAAAATTTCATTTTCAAAGAGTCAATAAAATATCGATTCTCTTTTTACAGGGAATACTAGAACCTCTCTGCTCTCTTCGAGGGCCGTTCCTCCCATCAGACGAGCAGCGACGATGCGAGCACACAACGGGGCAGCTAGTAGCAGCTCGAAACAAAGCAGCAACTCTTCGTCGCCGTGTTTACACAGACACTCGGGTCAGATTCGTAGTCATCACTCGAGAACGAGCAGCGTGATCTCGCGGAACAGTTCGCGTCACGGAAGGATCATCAGGTTGGAACAGAAGGCGACGAAGGTCCTCGGTGTGGTGTTCTTCACGTTCGTGATCCTCTGGGCGCCGTTCTTCGTCCTGAACCTTATCCCAGCCGTGTGTCCCGATTGCGAAAGACGAATCGATCGTAAGATCTTCGATCTAGCCACCTGGTTAGGCTACGCCAGCTCGATGGTGAACCCGATTTTCTACACCATCTTCAACAAGGTCTTCCGACAGGCGTTCAAGAAGGTGTTGCTCTGCAGATACAGGAATCAAAACTGGAGACCGTCAAGGTAGGCCTTCGACCCCGGCAGGCCGGGGATCGCTGTCACCAAGGTTTAAAGTCTATCCAAGGTGATCAATTTGAAACTTTGAACATTTCTTGAAGAAGTTCGAAAGTGTACAGGAGATTCGTTTGAAAGAATGAACGAACATTTAACGAATGGTGCTTCTAGACGATAAACATTTCATCTTCCAATAGAAGCTTTGCGAGCCTAGCTCGAAGCAGAGCGATTTTTAAATTAAGAACCGCGTGATTTTATTAGGTGTTAGAGAATCGTTTTATTCGATACTTAACCGTCAATTTCATTACACAGATACTAATTTTCAAGCAATCAATTAACAATGTATGCATGGTATAGTGACTGCTCCATTGACTTGTGTAAATAAATAGAATGATCCAATATTGTGAGCAAAGAAATAAACAAATTGGCTTACATCCTCTTGAATAACCCCTTGCTAAGATTGTAACAAATGCATTTTATCGTACAATATTTTTAGCATATTCGAATAGAAGAAGAACAGAGTACATCTATCGAAGATGAAATTATTTATAAGATAATAAAAAAAAAATAAGAAACTTTTCCTAACACCTAATAGATGAAAATCGAATTCGATGGAAGAATTCAAGCGAACCGTGTTTCGTTTCGTAAAGGAGCTTTGAAAAGCTTTCGAGAAGTGGAAGGAGGAATTATTTGAACTAGGAAAGAAAACGACAGAAGAAGCCGGAGCTTCCTTAACGTTAACTTAAGTTCACTCGAATTTCGTCAACGACGAAAAAGTAATTGGAGGAAGTTGAAAAATCGTCGATATCGCGAAGATACAGGTACATCTTCTAAACGAGAAACTATCAGTTTCGCGTCGTGAAATTGAAGAAGGCGACGCGACGGGAAACGTTTGCCTCCGTCAAGGATCTCTCGAAATTTCGTCGACAAATTAATCCTTTAGAGAGTAGAATCGCTATAATTTCTTCGTGAATCGTCGTTGATAAACGGTGCCCCCTCGAACTTTTAACGAGTAGAACAAGCGAGAATTGTTAAATCGGTCGTGACGAAACACTGAAGGGACAAATCCGCCCCCTAATGGTGGCCATAAACGCCAGTTACTAGATAATTAACGATGCTTCGTGAATTGTTATCGCCTCGTTCGTTTCGAGAGGTCGAATTTGCTATGTTTGCTCGGGTCAAACGAGTTCCTCTGCCGATTCAAAAATAGTACGTTCAATTCCACCGGATATACATGGGTTAAACAGAGTAATCGAAATATTCGGTGATTTTCAATTGATCTTCGCTATAATAATGGTTTAATTGCCTAACAGGAATTATTGTGTAAAATTGTGTTAGAAATCATTAAGGCTGTATCGGTAAGAAAATTAATTTTGTCAAATAATACAATAAAGAGAAAAAATGTAAGTTAGAAAGGTATAACATGAAGTTGTACATTTTTATGGTTATTTTTCTGGTATTCAACGTGTTAATTAGAGGAACGTTTATCTTTAACGAGCATTTCTCTTATTTTGTTTAACCTTTGTATAACTCGTCAAAAAAGTCTCGGTACATTCTGTTGAAGTACAAAAATAATAATCGTTTGAAAATATGCCCAGCTTGGAACAGCAGTCATTAAAAATATGATTATTACAAATTATCAGTTAAAATACTGTGCAAAAATATTAGAAATAATGTTAAATAATCTTTAACGAGGTGTACAGATACTTTTTTGATTAATTATGCGTAGAAAAGTCCAAAGATTTTTTGTCTGACTTTTCGAATCCTTCTAAATTTAGATTTTCAAAATTTCACCTTACCCTGAATACAATAAGAATATATTGAAAAACTGTAAAAAGATACTATAATTATTTTTCTGCAAATTAGAGTTAGACAAAAAGCATTTGGACTTAAAAAGTTCAATCAACCACGTACATTTTTGAAAAAAATTTCACTCGACCTTTTCTATTTTTCAGTCAATTTAAACATGCTAGACTAGACATACTGTTGATTATAACGTATATAAAGAATCTTCTGTATTGCTTCAATTATATTGCGCTCAAATGATTGCAATAAAGAAGATAAGTATGAAAATTGAAATTTGAGATAGAGAAAAAAAGGAAAATGAGCTGATCAAGTAGAAAAATAAAAAGAATAGAAGAATTCGATTAGTGCTTGTAAGAGGGTACATTTGGATTAAGTTGTATATAATCAATACAAACCATTACGACAATCATTAATCATTTCTTTACAATATTTAATGTTTCAGTTATTTCCCCTTGAATCTTAAAATAATAATTTCTGCTATTCTATCATTTTCATTTTTTATTTTGCAAACGACTAACTAACAATGATATTGTATCGAGAGAAAAGCTTGTCAAATTTTGGAAACAATAATACCAATAAACAAATTGAAACAAAATGAACAAACTGATAACTGACAATCGCGTTTCTGTGTAACAAGAATTTGTTGGACAAGCCCGTCGACCGATAAAAATTAATCACCGTGGTAACAACGTGTGAATGGAACGATTAACGATCTGACAGCACGAATAAACAACAAAAGCAACGTAACCCAGCATTAAAATTGATTTTTCAGCCGGTTGCCAGTTCAACTTTCGACCCGATCCCCTTCAAGAGAACCAAAAAACAAAGAGAGAAAATTGAACATGCAAAAGGTTATCCGATATATTATTCAAGGCTCAAAAAGAGCAAAATAGAACAGTGAAAAAGATTCAACTGGTTGACGTATAAATTTAATGGAAAAAACACATTTTAGTTAAAAAATTTTGTGAAATACTTGAAAGAATGTTCGATAGAAAGAACTAAATATTTTTATTTTATTTATTTATTTACGGGAAACTGGTTTCCGGCACGTAACAAAAATATTACAAAAATAATAAATTTGTTATGGTTAAAATGTTAATGAAATGTAAAAGGAGAAGAGTAAAAAATTACGAGCACGAAAATGAAGAATAAAGTCAAGGCAGAGAGAAACATAAAAATATGATTATAAATAAAAATGGAAAAAAAATTGAAGTCAAGAAATATTAGAGAAATGACAGTACAGACAATTCAACGAAGAAGATAAACGATTTTCAAGAAGGATCTAAGAAAAATATAAAAAATCGAAACGGAAGAGATTTGAGAAGAGAAATGAAGGAAGGAAGAAACATAGGATGAACGAGAGCTTTTCTTGAACCGCGAATCGAGAAATATCCGTGTTAAGGGTAAAATAAAAAGGAAACAGAGGAAAATAACAGGTTGCAAGCTGATCGATAAAAAAAGGTTTACATAAAAGTGAACAATCAGTAATTTTTACTGAAAGAGTCAATTTTGAAAATTTCAAATTTGTCATTTTGATAGATTTAGTTATCTTAAAACATGCTTCATCATACATTTTAAAATAAATTAATGAAAAGTCTGAAAAATTCTTCTAAACTCTTTAAAATTGAGAAAAGTTGTAAGAAAATACAGAGTTTCAAGTGTCTCGTCAAAATACAAGCACTTACATTTTTTATTGCAATACCGTTGTAACGACGACATTATTACAACGTGATATTTGATAAAGATACCATTATCGTAAAATATTTCTTTGTCGACGTTTCCTGTCAAAGGTTTCGCTGAAAGTACGCTACAAGAGTTTTACATTTAATCGCATCGCAAAGGAAACTCCGACTGGTTCCCAGGAAAATTCAAGAATAACATTTAATCGTTCTTTCTTTACTTTCAATTATTTAGCTTGATTCGAAATATTCAATTAACGATCAAAAGTTGAAACACTATCAAATTTCTTTGTCTACTATATTTTGTAAAAAAAAGTACAAGTAAAAATTAAGAAAAATTTTCAAGAGAACTTAAATTTCTATTTAATTTTATAAATTTTTCGAAATTAAAATTTTTACACTGCAAATAAATGATTTATTAAAAAAGATAATAATAATTCTTTAACATCAAAATGAATAGAATCGTGAATGGATTGAGCTATTTGTATTTTTATTAATGCCTCTAACAAGCAAATTTTATGGAGGTAATATCGTGAAATCAAGTTGCGCGTACTGTTCAATCAATCAAACAAGGTAATGCGATAATCGCATCTCTGAATAGCGAATTTGGGTTCCTTTGAAGTAGAATCTCGGAAGAGGAACGTAATAATTTAATCACATTAACTAGTTCACGAGCGTTCAGCTATGAATACGCTATTTTCCATTATGTGTATACACTATCGCTGAAAGGTCCTCAAGGCACTTGTTAACCTGGAAATTTCGTACACACGATCCGCTTCCGCCGGTGCGTTAACCCGTTAATAATCGGAATTTTTAATGAAAAAAAATTCCTAATTTATTAATCAATTAACAACGGCACTAACGAGAAAAAAATGAAAATTAGGTATATGTGAACGAAAGCTTCAGACTCACTCGGTTCCAAACTGTCACGAAACATGATTAAGCTGCACTATCGTAAATTAAGCCGAAATAATAAATGAATTTGAGTAACTAATGATCCTACTTCAAAGAAGTTTCAAGAACAAGATAATCCACTGAAATGATCAAACTTCCAAGATAACTTCTTCATGAAGGCAGCTCTAGATTTCTTTAATTATGATTGATAATCTTGTAAATAATTAACTGTTTAGCAGCTTAGAAATTGAAAAATATTCTTTAGAAACATGTAAAAATGGATAATAACAAATTTGCTAGCTCACCAGAGTAATTGTAGGTAGTTAGTTTTTTTTCATAGAACAAAATGGTTTATAAACAAGTTGATTGATAACGACATTCACATCATTACCCTCTTTTATTCCATTACTCGTGGGTAAATACAAGTGAAGAAGGGTAGATCGGTCGAACGTAAGCTTAACTCTTGGTTATCAAAAGGGGCTACCGCTCGTTTCCGGTAATTCCTCGAAATTAGGGGATAGGCCTACGAAATGAAGGCTTTTGCGTAACAGAGGAACCTTTATGTCATGCGAATCTATTACGTTAATCGTAGAAGCGTGTTTATGTAAATATCCTTTTCTTTTTATACATTAGCCCTCCAAATGATTTTTCAAACGACAGTTCTTGAAATTTTTGAATTAAGAACAAAAGTGGTTATTTTATCAATCACCCTTCGCCCTTAAATCGTCAATTCTATCCGAATACGAAGAGCAACCTCGCGTAAACATGAAGAAATGAACATAGGGGATGAAAACTTCAAAGGCTGCCTATTGTTAGTGTACATACCAGCATAGATAGAAAAAGAAGAGAAGAAACAAAGAAACAGTGAGCAGTTCTCTTTTGAATACGGTATTCGTCCTTTGGTCGCTTTGTGAACAGCGAATAGATGGATGGAGAAACGCACTCACCCCGGGAGAAATATGTCTATCCGAGGTTAGCAACGTATCGGGATTCATCAGCGGCTCTGTCACGGAAATATTCGTCGTTTCACGATTTTTCACGGTAACCAATCTCGCCTTCATCATCGAAATAACGGACGAAGATCAAGCGATTTGTGCATCGAGCGTGTGGCTTCGAAGATTAGTAAAATACTGTCCTTTACACAGAAACTTTTTTACTTTCACCAACGCAACGAAGGTTAAGTTACGAATGATTCGTTTGATTAATTATTAAATTTTTAAATTATATACATATGTATATAGTAGATACCAGTTGCAAAATTTTTTTTTACAAAAAGAGGTGAAATCAAATGTCGCGTCCTTAATAAAGAATCTGGCAATAAGAGAAGAGGCGAGTGCGAAAGGAGACAAGCAAAAGAGGATTAGTAAAAAACAGAAATAAAGTCTGTGAGTGTTCCGCAAACAGCGGACTGCTCGAAACAAATCGAAGAGAGCAGCCATAAATAACGGTTTCCCGGGATTTCAGTAGGGGTTGCCACGAGGAACGCGAGGGGGTGGGATCAGGGCTTGAAGAAGGGGCTTCTACCTATGTTCGACGTGACGTTAATTAACCCTTGGTGCGCGAAAATACTCTCCAGGCGTGATATGAGCTCCCGTGTGCCACAAAACCGACCAAAAGGACCGGAGAATCGTAGGAAAAACGATTCTCCGACTATCTTCATCGTCCCTTTGCCAAGATTTTCACGAACCCATTCGCTCTGGTATCTCTTTTGCATCGAAACAAAATTATAAACGGATTTAAGCTTCGTGAAATCGTGTAGACAAATAATAATTAGAAGAAATAGTTGAATATTCCCAAAAATGTTTTTAAACGTTGAAGAAATTTGAAATTTTATGCTCGATAAATTGTACAAACTTGCAGAAGTTTCGAAGCAGAGTGAAAAATACAATTCACTAGATGCAACAGGGTGTCCCCAGGGCGCAAAGGGATGTAGCTGGAATTTAATTTCCTTTGGCCCCGTTAACTTCGTTTTCTCAGAAGTTACCGTCAACTAATTGTGTCATCATCTTCTCGATTCTCTCTCACTTTTCGTTATGTATT